CATAAATGAGAAATGAATTAAGTGGATTGGTATATTTAATTAAATGAATAACCTCAGAAACATACAGAATGAAAACTTCTGATGAAGTCTTTTTTCATTACATATTATGAAGTATTTGAAAAATTCACAGTTTTACAAAATTATTTTGTTTGTTCTTAGATATAAAGACATTACAACTTCAGCTGCAGGACCTGTACTGAATGTTCGTATACTAGAGCGACAATAATTATACCATCAGCACCTGTACTGAATGTTGGTATACTTAGAGACAATAACTATATGGTCAGCACCTGTACTGAATGTTGGTATACTAGAGAGACAATAACTATACGGTCAGCACCTGTACTGAATGTTGGTATACTAGAGAGACAATAACTATACTATCAGCACCTGTACTGAATGTTGGTATACTAGAGAGACAATAACTATACCATCAGCACCTGTACTGAATGTTGGTATACTAGAGAGACAATAACTATACCATCAGCACCTGTACTGAATGTTGGTATACTTAGAGACAATAACTATATGGTCAGCACCTGTACTGAATGTTCGTATACTAGAGAGACAATATATAATATACGGTCAGCACCTGTACTGAATGTTGGTATACTAGAGAGACAATAACTATACGGTCAGCACCTGTACTTAATGTTGGTATACTAGAGAGACAATAACTATACCATCAGCATCTATACTGAATGTTGGTATACTAGAGAGACAATAACTATACCATCAACATCTATACTGAATGTTGGTATACTACGAAGACAAAAACTATACCATCTATGTGCTAGAATTTTATTGTAGTTTTGTAGTAAACCAACTAAGTGTTGTTTTTGTTTACATAATAAAACAATATATAATAATCAGACTTCAGAAAGTCCTGTTTTAGGGGCCATGTTTTGTAGATTACCTGACCTTAGACAGTCCTGTTTTAGGGGCCATGTTTTGTAGATTACCTGACCTTAGACAGTCCTGTTTTAGGGGCCATGTTTTGTAGATTACCTGACCTTAGACAGTCCTGTTTTAGGGGCCATGTTTTGTAGATTACCTGACCTTAGACAGTCCTGTTTTAGGGGCCATGTTTTGTAGATTACCTGACCTTAGACAGTCCTGTTTTAGGGGCCATGTTTTGTAGATTACCTGAACTTAGACAGTCCTGTTTTAGGGGCCATGTTTTGTAGATTACCTGACCTTAGACAGTCCTGTTTTAGGGGCCATGTTTTGTAGATTACCTGACCTTAGACAGTCCTGTTTTAGGTGCCATGTTCCTTTGGTCATTCTGACATAACCATTCTGGATTACTTGTTTTAAATCCCAGACAAAGTTAGCATAGTATTACATTTGTTTTTAATCTCACTTGTAAAATGTCAGATCTGAATGATTGATAATTCAATACATGTTTTAAACTGATTTCCTAATCTGGTGAATGTAGCAACCATGTCAGCCATCATAAAGGCTAATAGTGTAGAATGTTGATTCAGACTTAATGCTTTAATAACCGCATGCCTTAAACACCAATTAACCACAGGAGGAGGACCATGCCTATGTAATAGACCCAGTGCCTACGACTGTGTATTGTAGATCCCTGGATTAGGCCAGACTTAATAATTCCTCAATTATTAACACTATTTATAACTCAAGTAGACATATAACTTTGAACAATCAATGGCTCTTTTATCAAATCCAAACAGGGACAGCAGATAATTTATTTTAGAAGGGTATTTCTTCAACACAGAATCAATATAAAATAAAAAATACTATCAGTATTACTATGTACTATTATATAAACTTCCGCTATGATGTTCAGTGAAACACCTATCATCTCAGACCCCAGTAATTGGATATCAATGTGCTACTAATCATATCTTTATTACAATAATAGATTTTCTTCTTACACTGTGTGAAGTCAACCGTAGGAGAATTAATTACGATCACAGAATTGAATACAAGTGGGTATAGAAATGTACAGTCTAAACACGATTAAGTATTTCATTTGTGCATGTTCTGTTTCTCGTACACATTGATCTATATAAGATCTGCTAGGTGTATAAATCAAGGAAATTGAACAGATTTGAACAAGAAACTTAAATAAAGAACCACACAGGTATGCTAATGATTTACATACTGAAAACAAAACTCAAACAGAACTATCAACATTTAAACCTGAAATGATTTTATTGAACACATAAAGTCCTATCATTTGTTTGCTGAAGTTCTATCATGGTACATATAAATAATTTAAAATCTATGTACACCATAAAAATGGCTAGGATCTAGTCATACCAGTATACAGAAGTGGTACACGACCAATATGCCACCAGTATTAATTTTTCATAACTTGTCAGCTCTCTAAAATGGGGGGGGGGGGGGGAGATTTTAAGGTCAATTAAAAATGAAGATTAGGTCGCCTACAACTGCAGATTAAGGTCCCTACAACTAGATATAAAGTCGCCTATAACTGGAGACTAGGTTCCCTACAACTGGAGATTTACAGGTCTCTTATGACTTGAGATTAGATCACCTACAACAGAGATTAGGTTCCCTACAATTGGGTATTAGATACCCTACAACTGGAGATTAGGTGCCCTAAACTGGAGATTAGATTCCCTACAACTGGAGATTAGATTCCTAGCACAATTGGAGATTAAGTCACCTATGATTAAAGAATAGGGCCAATACAACTAGAGAATTGATCCTCTACAACTGAAAATTAGGCCAACTTCAACTAGAGATAATGTCCCAAGCAAGTAAAGAAATAGTCTCCAAAAGAAAAGTTGATGCAAAACTGATTCCTCTTTATCAAAGGTTGCCTCAGACCAAATATTGGCAAAATCCATTCATTCCTATAGACCAACTATTGTAAAAAGAATGGTTTTGCTTTTCCCAAGGCTGCTTCAGACTAAATTTTATTAAAATCCACTCAGTCATTCATAAGTAGTTGTGATTTTGAGGAAACCTCCCACTTGGTTCTTCAGGCCAGATGACCTAAAAATAGATTTCCTACAATTGGTCATTAGGTCCCCTAAAACTAGAGATTAGATCCCCAACAACTAAAGAACATGTGCCTTACAACTGGCAATAGATCCTCTAAACCTGGAGATTAAATCCCCTACAACTGGTGATCAGGTCCCCTGCAACTAGCGATATTAGGTAACTGTCTCTTACAACCAAAAAATAGGTGCCTGCCCAACAACTGGATAGTGTGTCCCTTAATCCTGGAGATTAGATCCCCTACAACTTAAGAACAGGTCACCTTCAACTGAAGATTAGGCCTCCTACAACAGAAAATTATGTCCCCTACAACTGAAGAACAGGTCACCTTCAACTGGAGATTAGGTCTCCTACAACAGAAAATTATGTCCCCTACAACTGAAGAACAGGTCACCTTCAACTGGAGATTAGGTCTCCTACAACAGAAAATTATGTCCCCTACAACTGAAGAACAGGTCACCTTCAACTGGAGATTAGGTCTCCTACAACTGGAAATTATGTCCCCTACAACTGATGAACAGGTCACCTTCAACTAGAAATAAGGTCTCGTACAACTGGAGATTCAAGGCCCTAATATAACAGAGATTATATCCCTAAGACATGAAATACATTAGAAAGTTAAAGGTACAGTAAAAGATCACAGATCTACTTGTATGTATATAGAGTAAAGGAGGATAAATCTTTATTGTAAATCTCACCTATAAACAAAGTGTCATGTTTTATATGGGGCTTTTTATTCCCAGTCCCCTGTGGAGGACTCACTCTATGCTTAATGCTTGACCTTCGATTTTCTTTTTGGTTCAGCAAAGCCTTGTAATACTAGGTCCATGAAATCAAATCCATGTTTAAGATTCTTTATGTTAATGATTAACAACAGAACATAAAACTAGCACTTGTTCTGTATAAAAAGGGTACGTAGCTAGGTAGATCAATGTCACTCTACAACATTGTTCATTCCTTAGGAAAAACACTTTGTCATCCTATCAGGTACCAGATGTCTAAATATTGCCTGTCAGCTATCGTAAAGATAACTTGATGTTCATTGTTCAGCACCTACTTTCAATTTTGAATTTTTTTTGGAGCATGACTTTCAGATTAATCCATAACTTTGAAATGACTGATTTTCATGCAGTTATTTCTCAGACTTTATAACAAGAACAACTGTTTAAACCATCATCAGCCTTTTCAGACTAAGGAGTTTGTACATACCAAAATATATATCATCAAAATCTACATCAGCACGGTAGCCTGGAAGGAAAATGACTGGTCAATGGTCAAGATGGAGGTTTGCATAGACATCAATGGATTTTTAAATTAAATGTAATTAAACGTATTGACAAATGACCAATGTTGTTTATCCTGACTCTAGTCTGAGTTATAGGACCAGTTTTATCCCAACTCTAGTCTGAGTTGTCAGGTCAGTTTTATCCCAACTCTAGTATGAGCTGTAAGGCCAGTTTGATCCTAACTCTAGTCTGAGTTGTCAGGTCAGTTTTATCCCAACTCGAGTCTGAGCTGTAGGGCCAGTTTGATCCCAACTCTAGTCTGAGTTGTCAGGTCAGTTGATACCATGTCTAGTCGAAGTTGTCAGGTCAGTTTATACCCACTCTAGTCTGAGATGTCAGGTCAGTTTTATTCTAACTCTATTCTGAGCTGTAGGGCCAGTTTTATCCCAACTCTAGTCTGAGCTGTTGGCCAGGTTTCTCCCAACTCTAGTCTGAGTTGTCAGGTCAGTTTTATCCTAACTCTAGTCTGTGATGTCAGGTCAGTTTTTCCTAACTCTAGTCTGAGTTGTCAGGTCAGTTTTATCCTAACTCTAGTCTGTGATGTCAGGTCAGTTTTTCCTAACTCTAGTCTGAGTTGTCAGGTCAGTTTTTCCTAACTCTAGTCTGAGTTGTCAGGATAGTTTCGTCTGCATGAATTGTCAGTTCAGTTAGTCTAAGCTGCTAGCTCTGTTCAGATAAGTGTAAGAACCTGCAGTTCAAATGTCTATCCATACAAACCTTCGCTGTCTTTGAACTTCTTTACAGCAACCATTTCACCAGACTCCTGAAATACAGCACAATTTTTTTTTAATACTTTAAAAACAAGATGCAGCTATTAATCTGTATTTCGAACGAGTTGGCATCTTATACATTATCATCTATAATACAAACACGATTGTAGAGCCGCACACGCAGTTAATTATACAGCTAAATAATTAATTATGCATGGGACTGAACACCACATCACAGGAAGAATCAGCTCTTGCCTTTGTGTGGTACTGTACATGAAAAGCACTTCCAAATGATTTCTCGCATGGAACACCAAATATTGAGTCGAGTGTTGGTACCGGAGTACTGGTACGCGTAGCAGTTGCCAAGCAGGGTCAATAATATTTCCAAACGGTTGTGGTTACGGAGTTTAATGACTGTATACCTGGTGATGATAGTCTCCAACACATCACACTCTATTACTCTAACAAACTGATTTATTTACTTCATTTCTTGATTGGAACCTTTATTGCAAAAATCATATCAAATGTCAAATCTTATCTATAAAATTTGATTATTTTTTCCACACACAGTAAAACGAGTACATTAATAGTGATGTTATTTAAAGTGATGCCAGCCTCCATCAATCTAGTCTTAGTTTGGAAATCTCGGTGAATTATAAAACACTTTCAGTCCCAGTCTAAGTCTGGGAATCTCAGTAAATTATAGAACACTTTCAGACCCAGTCTAAGTCTGGGAATCTCAGTAAATTATAAAACACTTTCAGACCTAGTCTAAGTCTGGAAATCTCAGTAAATTATAGAACACTTTCAGACCCAGTCTAAGTCTGGGAATCTCAGTAAATTATAGAACACTTTCAGACCCAGTCTAAGTCTGGGAATCTCAGTAAATTATAAAACACTTTCAGACCTAGTCTAAGTCTGGGAATCTCAGTGAATTATAAAACACTTTCAGACCTTGTCTGTCTGGAAATCTCAGTGAATTATAAAACACTTTCAGACCTAGTCTAAGTCTGGGAATCTCAGTAAATTATAAAACACTTTCAGACCTAGTCTAAGTCTGGGAATCTCAGTGAATTATAAAACACTTTCAGACCCAGTCTAAGTCTGGGAATCTCAGTAAATTATAGAACACTTTCAGACCCAGTCTAAGTCTGGGAATCTCAGTAAATTATAAAACACTTTCAGACCTAGTCTAAGTCTGGGAATCTCAGTGAATTATAAAACACTTTCAGACCTTGTCTGTCTGGAAATCTCAGTGAATTATAAAACACTTTCAGATCCAGTCTAAGTCTGGAAATCTCAGTGAATTATAAAACACTTTCAGACCCAGTCGAAGTCTGGAAATCTAAGTGAATTATAAAACACTTTCAGACCTAGTCTAAGTCTGGAAATCTCAGTGAATTATAAAACACTTTCAGACCCAGTCTAAGTCTGGAAATCTAAGTGAATTATAAAACACTTTCAGACCTTGTCTGTCTGGAAATCTCAGTGAATTATAAAACACTTTCAGACCCAGTCTAAGTCTGGAAATCTCAGTGAATTATAAAACACTTTCAGACCTAGTCTAAGTCTGGAAATCTCAGTGAATTATAAAACACTTTCAGACCTCTGTCTGGAAATCTCAGTGAAATAAAACACTTTCAGTGAATTATAAAATTATAAAACACTTTCAGACCCAGTCTAAGTCTGGAAATCTAAGTGAATTATAAAACACTTTCAGACCAAGTCAAAGTCTGGAAATCTCAGTGAATTATAAAACACTTTCAGATCCAGTCTAAGTCTGGAAATCTCAGTGAATTATAAAACACTTTCAGATCCAGTCTAAGTCTGGAAATCTCAGTGAATTATAAAACACTTTCACATCTAGTCTTAAAGTCTGGAAATCTAAGTGAATTATAAAACACTTTCAGACCTTGTCTGTCTGGAAATCTCAGTGAATTATAAAACACTTTTAGACCCAGTCTAAGTCTGGAAATCTCAGTGAATTATAAAACACTTTCAGACCCAGTCTAAGTCTGGAAATCTCAGTGAATTATAAAACACTTTCAGACCCAGTCTAAGTCTGGAAATCTCAGTGAATTATAAAACACTTTCAGACCCAGTCTAAGTCTGGAAATCTCAGTGAATTATAAAACACTTTCAGACCCAGTCTAAGTCTGGAAATCTCAGTGAATTATAAAACACTTTCAGACCTAGTCTAAGTCTGGAAATCTCAGTGAATTATAAAACACTTTCAGACCCAGTCTAAGTCTGGAAATCTCAGTGAATTATAAAACACTTTCAGACCCAGTCTAAGTCTGGAAATCTCAGTGAATTATAAAACACTTTCAGACCCAGTCTAAGTCTGGAAATCTCAGTGAATTATAAAACACTTTCAGACCCAGTCTAAGTCTGGAAATCTCAGTGAATTATAAAACACTTTCAGACCCAGTCTAAGTCTGGAAATCTCAGTGAATTATAAAACACTTTCAGACCCAGTCTAAGTCTGGAAATCTCAGTGAATTATAAAACACTTTCAGACCCAGTCTAAGTCTGGAAATCTCAGTGAATTATAAAACACTTTCAGACCTAGTCTAAGTCTGGAAATCTCAGTGAATTATAAAACACTTTCAGACCCAGTCTAAGTCTGGAAATCTCAGTGAATTATAAAACACTTTCAGACCCAGTCTAAGTCTGGAAATCTCAGTGAATTATAAAACACTTTCAGACCCAGTCTAAGTCTGGAAATCTCAGTGAATTATAAAACACTTTCAGACCCAGTCTGGAAATCTCAGTGAATTATAAAACACTTTCAGACCCAGTCTAAGTCTGGAAATCTCAGTGAATTATAAAACACTTTCAGACCCAGTCTAAGTCTGGAAATCTCAGTGAATTATAAAACACTTTCAGATCCAGTCTAAGTCTGGAAATCTCAGTGAATTATAAAACACTTTCAGACCTAGTCTAAATCTGGAAATCTCAGTGAATTATAAAACACTTTCAGACCCAGTCTAAGTCTGGAAATCTCAGTGAATTATAAAACACTTTCAGACCTAGTCTAAGTCTGGAAATCTCAGTGAATTATAAAACACTTTCAGACCCAGTCTAAGTCTGGAAATCTAAGTGAATTATAAAACACTTTCAGATCCAGTCTAAGTCTGGAAATCTCAGTGAATTATAAAACACTTTCAGACCTAGTCTAAGTCTGGAAATCTCAGTGAATTATAAAACACTTTCAGACCTAGTCTAAGTCTGGAAATCTCAATGAATTACTAAACACTTTCAGACCTAGTCTAAATCTGGAAATCTCAGTGAATTATAAAACACTTTCACATCTAGTCTTAAAGTCTGGAAATCTAAGTGAATTATAAAACACTTTCAGACCCAGTCTAAGTCTGGAAATCTCAGTGAATTATAAAACACTTTCAGACCCAGTCTAAGTCTGGAAATCTCAGTGAATTATAAAAGACTTTCAGACCAAGTCAAAGTTTGGAATTCTCAGTGAATTATAAAATGCTTTCAGATTCGTTCTAAGTCTGGAAATTGCAGTGAATTATAAAATACTTTCAGATCCAGTCTATGTCTGGAAATCTCAGTGAATTATGAAACACTTCCAGACTGAAAAACAATCCTGTAATAATTTGAAATCATCACTGGGTCTGCTGTACAATAAAAACTCATGGAGCAACAGAAAGTTATTACTAGCTTTGATCTAATATTGAATTTTCTATAAATTGTAAAACACAAACGATAAGACTGATGAAGCAAGCCACTGAGGTATATATGATAAAACTATTAAACAGATAAGGAAGTGAACATTACAATTAATGCTCCCAGCCACCAATGGTATTCCTGGAAATCTGTCACTGCTGACCTGATCTCACAGACAGAGAACGTTGGTGAGAAGTTTACTTTTATGACAATGATTATAAAACACACATTTTTAAGGTTATTTTTCCTGTTTTTTCCCCCAATGGCTTTCTCCATAAAAATGCTGCTAATAAAAATAGGTATCACTAGAATATTCATCTCCAACACTACAAATGTAGACATGTATACATCAGGTTGTATTACAGGTTCCTTAACAGTCCCCATGGAAACTACCACATCTGGCTGGTTATTTTCACCCAGAACTCAGTCTAAAGTAAAAGTTCACCACAATTCTTGGAAAAAGGAGTACATTTTATTCATTTGTCGAATGCATTTAGAATCAAAATATATTCCAGTTTGCCTGATTGCTACTGGAGGTACTGCCTGATTGCTACTGGAGGTACTGCCTGATTATGTCTTAAGGAACTGCCGGATTATGTCTGGAGGTACAGCCTGATTATGTCTTGAGGAACTGCCGGATTATGTCTTGAAGTACTGCCTGATTATGACAGGAGGTACTGCCTGATTGCTACTGGAGGTACAGCCTGATTATGACAGGAGGTACTGCCGGATTATGTCTGGAGGTACTGCCTGATTATGTCTTGAGGTACTGCCTGATTATGACAGGAGGTACTGCCTGATTGCTACTGGAGGTACAGCCTGATTATGACAGGAGGTACTGCCGGATTATGTCTGGAGGTACTGCCTGATTATGTCTTGAGGTACTGCCTGATTGCTACTGGAGGTACTGCCTGATTATGTCTGGAGGTACTGCCTGATTATGTCTTGAGGTACTGCTTGATTATGACAGGAGGTACTGCCTGATTATGACAGGAGGTACTGCCTGATTATGTCTTGAGGTACAGCCTGATTATGACAGGAGGTACTGCCTGATTGCTACTGGAGGTACTGCCTGATTATGTCTGGAGGTACTGCCTGATTGCTACTGAAGGTACTGCCTGAATATAAATATACCATTCTCAACACACTGGTATGTAACAAACAGATCCTTTGTAGTGCTAAGTCTATCAAAAGAAATTTTATAACAGCACCTGTTTGTTAACTTTAGCACGCATTAGGGTATCACAGATAGGCTTTCAAATGCCTATGCATTTATAAATACTTGTTTTTATAAAAACTATTCAAATGAATGGTCAACCCCAATATTAAACTTCACTAACTAGTGTCGGACTTAAGAATCCTG